CGAGAGCCATAAATATATTTTTACATAATCACCATTATGTGAATAATATCCTTTTAAAGTTTTATGAAACTATGGTAGTTTTATTTTCATTTTCAATTTTGCTTTAGAGCCACCGTTTGCGAGCCGCAATTTGCTGACCCCTTGGCGGCTCTTGTCTCAAAAGTTTGCCGACCCCTGCTCTAAACTAGATTGGCGAACTTTCTCTGAAAAGGGCCACACAATCTGTCACACACTCACTCTGCCATTGTACAGTGAGAGCAGTCATAGGTTGTATGTGAGTGTGTTGGTGCGTTAAGTATTTTAAACAAATGGTTTCTGCTGAGTATGACTGTATGTCAGTAAAACTTGATAAACACTGAAATCTGAATTTCATATAATTTTCACATCATGAAATAGTCTTCTTTAAAAACGTCTCCATACACTTAAAAACATAAAAACCATTCTGAGCTTGTGAGCCATACAAAAACACAGCGGATCATAGTTTGTTGACCCCAGTTCTAGATTACGAGTATAGAGACCTTCTCTGAAGTAGGAATTCCAGTTTTGTTTCTATAGAGGAAACAGCTCCTGGGGCTTGTTGTTTAAGACATTGCTAGGCTGCGGTGGTCAGTGACCATTTGGGACTGCTGAGACCATCGTGGAGAAAAAGTAGAGAGGGGAAAAATCATCAGTGAGAAAAGGAGAGCACCAGTACACAGGAGAGAAGTGAATGGGTGTTTAAGAAACATCCTCAAAGGTATCCTAGGCAGAAAGAAACCCAGGAAACCATGAACCTATTGCAATGCCCTCTTTTGGCTCTTTTAAAGCAATAACTTCACATTTTAGTTCTAAGAAGCAGCTCAGTAAAATCCCCGAATAGCAAGAACCTTGGGTGTTTCCATGAGGCTTTTCTTGGAAGTCCCTAAGCATATGGTGTCTGAGAGACACCATTGCTGTGGACATAGGTTGTTTGGAAGGCTACACAAATGCAGATCCTCAATTCACAAGTCAGAAGTCATCAGACTCAGTTTCAGTTCCTCTTACTGGGGCGACGGGCCTTGGATTCAAGCTAAGCAGAGCTCTGAAGTTGAAGGACAGTTTCCTCTATGCCAAACCAGTCAGTCCTGACACTTGGAAATCCTGCTCTCTGGGGGTCCAAGAGGGGCCAAACCCACCACTGGTTTGGTGGCCCACCTCCAGTGATGATAGAAAGCAAATGTGTTTTTGTTACTGTTACTATTGTTGCTTTCATACTATTTTTTTTTTAAGCTGAGCCATCCTGCCACCTGTTGGCAGCTCAGCAGCTGCTCAGCTCGGGCTGGGAATCGAACCGCTATTGCTCAGAGCTCAAACTCTTGAGCGAGCTCTTAACCAACGGAGCCACTCGGCTGGCCCACTTTCATACTACTTTTAAATTATGTTATGGGTGTAGCAGGTGTTCAACAAAATATTTGTTCATTACAAAATCAGCTATGATCCCCTGTTAACACACTTGGAAATTAACAAGAGGCCAGATCTGTCCACACGCCATCATTCTTGTGCAGGCCAATCCTGTATTTCCAAACAACTGGAACAAATATTGCCTTCAAGAACACCCCCACCCCCCACCCCCAGTGGCACAAAATAGCCATAGGCCGGGTTGGTCTGTATCAGGTACATCTTTGTTTCTTTTAATATTTTTCGTCTTCTTTTGATAGGTAACACATAGACACGTGGTAACAAAATACAAACAGTACAAAAAGGTTTACAGTGAAAGTAAGTCCATTTCAACCCCCGCCCCGTTCCCTTCCAGATACTCTACAAGTATATGTGTTTATTCGTCTCAGGCACATTTCGCCAGAGGAGTGCGGATGGATTCCTCCCAACTGCCACGGGCAGTGAGAAGGTATCAAGTTCACGCAAAAGGAGCTGGACAGGGAGGGGTCCCTAGGCTTCCGCCATCAGCTTAAAAGCTCCCGCGATCTGTCCCTTCGGCCGGCTCTGGGCTCCCTTCCTCCCCCTCCGGGATTTCCGCCTGTGATAGGTCTCCTCCCCCCTAAGGCTTTTCAAGGATCCCTTCAAGGCCACCAAGTTAGCTCTGAAAGAAAAAGGTCTGTGACACCATCACTCCCGACTACGTTCAGGGTACCTGACAGCCCACCGGGTCCCCAAACACTAGACACGGCCTCCACGCCTCTTCCGCAGCCGGGAGCTCGGTGCGTTGGACCTAGACGGCCGAAAGTCTGGGCTTCCCTACCGGCTCTGACCACAACCGGGAGAAACCTCAGCATGACTTCCTCCTGGCCCCTCAGCTGGCCGTAGCCATCCTCGGCTCCCACAGTGGGCGTGTCGGGCGGCGGGGAAGGGGTTACGTTGGCGCTAGCCTGGCCCGGTGGCGGGCAGTCACCTGTAGCCACGGTTGGTGGCCCGCGGCGGGATGCGGTAGACGTGCACTTCTGGCTTGACGCAGAGCACCGACTCGTACTCGCCCTCCTCCATCGCGACGCCCGGAGCCCGCCAGACTTCCGGCTCCTTCGCAGCCTGGGGAAGGGGGGGGGCCGGAAGCAGTGCGACTCTATGACCTGGGTCAGGCTAGAGCGGCAGCTCGGGGCCTCAGCACCTCGTCGCCCCAGCGCCCTCTGCTGGAGGCCCTGGCTCAAGACACGCGGCGGTCGGACCCGGGAGTCCACCTGCTGAGGACCAGGGATCTCATGGGGCTTCCCCCTCCCACAAGTCCTCATGGGACGCAGAGAAAAAAATGGACAAATACCTGTTCGAGTTCTTCTTTTCAGTTCCCTTGAGTATATCTCTAGAAGTGGACTCGCCGAGCCATATGACACTTCGATGTTTAGCTTTTTGAGAAATCCCCAAACTGTTTTCCACTGCGGCTCCACCGTTTTACGTTCCCACCAGCAGCAAACAAGGGTTCCAATTTTCCTCATCTTCACCAACACTTATTGTCTATCTTTGGCAGTAGTTATCCAGGAGAGTGTGAAGTTAATCTCTCGTTATGTGAATTGACATAACTTCTAATTTCAACTGCTCATTACCCTGCTTCTGCGGAGCAAAGGAGAAATTGAGAAATGATCCAGAAAATGAGATTTCTTCCTCCCAGTTCTTTGATCCTGTCTCTCATTTTCCTAAAGTCCTGGAGTGGCAAAGACAGAACTCCCCTTAGAAGATGGAGGGAGAGAGATATTAAGGGGGAGGGGAGGGCACACTCCCATTTGAACAATCTTATCCTCTCACATTCTCAGCGGTCTGTTTATATGTCGGCTTTCCCGCTAGACTGTGAGCTTCTTCAATGAGTGTGTGTGTGTGTGTGTGTGTGTGTGTGTGTGTGTGTGTGTGTGTGTGTGTTTTCAGAGTTGGCTGCATCCCAAAGCCAACTTGGGGCAATTTGGGAATGGGCCACTTTGTTTTTCATACTCTGATCCCTTATATGTGCTGAACAGCACAGANCAGGAAAAGCGCAATGATAATACCAACATGGGCCAGTGAAGCGACGTCCTCCACAACTAGACTGAAGAACAAAAGCACAGCAACTCGTCTGTTCCCCTTTCAATTCCCCAATAAAATCTTAAAAAAAAAAAAAAAAAGCTGACCTATGAAGTGATGGCCCTGCAGCACCCCTCCTAGATATAGGCCCAAACAGAAATGCATCCATGTGTGCGCCAGAAGACATACCCTCGAACATTCGCAGCAACGCTACTGTATCAGCCCCACAGGAAACTGCCCAAATGTCTACCATCAGTTAAATGGGTAACTAACTGCATACAGTCTCACCATGGTCTATGCCACCACAATGAGAACGGACAAACTACATGCGACAATGTGGCTGCTCTCAGAAACGCTACAGGAGTAAGAGAAAGAAGGCAGGCACAGAGTACCAAGCGTATAAGTCGATTAATACAGTGGAAAAGAAAGTTTAGGGTATCAAAGGCAGGACAGTGAGTGGTTTGCTGGAGGCCGGGAGTGACTGGAAGGGGCAGGCGGGAGCTTCCAGGACGCTGATAATCTGCTTCTTGATCTGGGGGTTAGTTTGTGAGGGTAAGTTCGTTTTTTAAAAATCACTGAGTTCTCCATTTGTAATTTGTGCACTTTTCTGTATGCGTGTCATACTTCAATAAAACATTAAAATAACAAAAACCAAAGCCTGAACACCAAGCGCGAGCCAGAAAGCGGCGCCAGTTCCAAAGAGGAAGATGATCCGGGTCCCTGCTCATAAGGAAAGCAGCAGCTTCCTCAAATGCTAAGACCACAGCCCCAAGTCCAAGCCGTCACAGGGCTCAGTGTGAGTCCAGCTGGGCCCGTTATTTCTAGCTCTACGACCCTGGGCCAGGCCCGCAACTCCACCAAGCCTCAATTTCCTCGCCTGCAAAATGGGAGAAGGTTTAGTTCATATGAGAAAGTGCCTGAAGACACTACCTGGCACACAGCTGACGCTCAGTGACTGTTAGTTTCCTCCCAGCAAGAGAAAGAATCACATCCCAACCAGTCCACTGGGTATGACCTGTATTTTCTCTTAAGGGCCAGCTGGCCAACTTCAAGGTCCCAAATCATCACTAGCACGAAGCAGAAAAGAGGAGAGAGAGATAGGAAGAAGAAGAACATTATTTTAGGGTTACAAAGTTTCTTCAAAATCAAATCCATGTGGTCCTTGGTTTCCCCCAAATCACTCCAACTCCACCCCTGCAGTGGGCCAAGGCACCCGGCCAGTCCGACCTCTTCCTCTTCTCAACAGGAGCTACCGGGGGAAAGCCTGAGCCGGGCAGCTCAGGGTGAAGACATAGGGAGCCAGGACACCGCCACCGGCAGAAGCTGCCCATGACTCCCCATGCCCACGGTGGTGCCCTCCTGCCCCGAGTGCTCCCAAATCTTCCTTACTCAAAGCACAAGGCCAAGACTCAGCTTGGGGTGGGCACACTGACCCCCATTCTAATAGACGGGACAGAATCACCAGCTCTGGCAGCAAGTGACTCATGGTCCTTCTCACTCAGAGGCTTTGCACATGCTGTTCCCTCTGCGTGAACCACCCTCTGACCCTTCTCTTCCTCACAGGCCACTTCTTCCAGGAAGCCTTCCCTGGCTCACCTAACTCTGGACCATGTGCCTTTCCTCTAGGAGCTCATGGCACTGAGGACATCCCTAGGTCACAGAACCTCTCCTGCCATGTTGTAATCACATCTCAACCTGCCCACCTCAGCTCAACTCTGAGCTCCATGACAGCACAGCCCTCCATGACAGCAGGTGTAGTACCTGGCACAAGGCAGCTAGCTGTTCAATAAACATCTGCTAAACTGACGGAACTGCATTGTGAAAGAGAGTGATGGGCTCGGGGCTGGGCTGGGTGTGGTGGCCACAAGTATCACCTGACCGTGGCCAATCCAGCCAAGCAAGGGTGGGACTCACCGCAATGTTGATCTTGATGGTCTGGCCCTCCTTGAAGCCTAGGTCCAATTTGGGGCCTTGGTCTGGGTTCTGGGCTTGTTTTGCAAACTCACACTGTTGTTTCACCCACCTGGGGAGAGGAAGACAAAGGTGAGGAAGAGGCCAGCTGCCCTGCCTTAACATACTCACTTCACTACTACCTGCCATCAGACCAGGACGAGGCTTTTATTGCAGCAGGGTGGCAGAAGAGCACAGGCTGGGGAGTCAGGCCTGAATGCAAATCCTGCCTCTGACACTTAAGTAGCTGCATGCGTATCAGTTCCCTCATCAGCAAAATGAGATGACCATTCTATATGTCTCAAAGCCTGCTTTAAAAATTCAACGTGATCACTTACAGAGGGTCCTAATGCTGGTCTTTAGTAGATCTGAGAACCTGGCCCTCTACTCCCCAGCACTTGGCATGAGACAAAGTCTCCCCCACCCCCCGCCCCCTGCCAAGGGCTCGTAAGGTAGATGGTGAGACAAGACAGATGCTCAGGGAGGTCAGAGCAACACCAAGGTCTCCCACCCTCCATAAAACACCCATCCAACAGCCAGCAGAGGCAGGGGCGCCAGGACAGGGAAGAGCCAGAGGTATCCAGGTGAGCAGCTGCACATTCTCCACTTGCTGGAAGCCTGAGGTGGGCGCCTGTAGACGGCAGGGAGCAGTCTTTCCTGCCCTGTCTTAGCTTCAGAAGGGACCACCAGGGCATCTGTTGGGTGGCCTGAAAATCCAAGCATTACTTAACTATATCACAGAGGAACAGGCCCAGAAAGGCCACAGGAGCCGGACAAGGAAAGAGATGTGACCCCTCAAAGGCCGGGCCAGCTGGCTGGGATGGTGGAGTCGGGACATGGGAACAAAAAAATGACTTCGAAGCAGAGATGAGGACTGGCAGAGCACAGAGAAGCTGGCCTGCCCCAAAGGAGCAGTGAGTTTCTCTGAGGCTCTGCTAGAAGACAAGCCACACAGCACCGCCTGGGTATCCTAACCTGGGAAAGCAGCCTGTCCAGGGAAAGAAGGGAGGAGGCGTGAGCATGTGTGTCCGGGAACCACTCACTTGAAGTGGTCCTGCAATGCCACATTGAAGTCAAAGGCATCACCTCGGTCCACGAAGCCAATTCCAATAAACGCCCGTCGCCCTGGGGGACAACACACGATCAGTCCACTTTCCAGAGGCAGAGAAGCCTTTCTCACGGGGACAGAGCACCAGGACCCTCACATACCATTTCCATCCTCAATGCGGATCACGAAATACCTGCTGGAATCCGTCACGCTCTCCACGGCTGTGCCAGGAAACTGATCCACTGGGGCCTGAGCAAAGAGCTCCCCTGGAAGCACAAGTCAGGGTGATCCTTGAGCCCCCTCCCAGCCTGATGTCTCTGTCATACTACTGGGGCCTTTTTCCTGTGAGGCAGATGGGCACACCTCACTCTGGGATTCAAGTCAAATTCTGGCTAAAGGGAAGATGCAGGAATAGAACCAAAGAAAAGGTTTAAGTCAGAGGTGGTTTAGTTTTAGTATTTTTAACTGCTCAACATTTCAAAATCAAATTACACATAAAATAATCCAGGTTTCTGGCTTCTCTTAAAATCCAAAGCTCTAGCAATGCTGGGCCTCCATTCACACGAGACTAACGGGCCACCCATTCCATCTGTCTCACCCAGTTACATTACCTGCCTGCACCCTGACGGCCCTGGAGCAGGTGGGCCCTGGTCCAGGTATATCACACCTGAAAAGGCCTGGCACCTGAGGTAGGACTGCAGAGGAGCCAGTGAACCCAGTGGAAAGGAGGGAGGAAGGTTTTGCACCCACAGGAGAATCTGATGCAGGCTGATTTAATTAAACCCAGGGCAAAAGAATGATTGGTTTTAAAGGAGCCCTTGTGAAATGCACTCCCTTATCAGCTACAGCTCTACAGGGTGCAATGCAACACACGCCTTTTGTGGGTATTTATAACTGGTATCGTTTTCCCATGTGCTGATCTTTGTTGATGCTTTAAGTGTTTAACCAAGTATTGTCTACTGAAACATGTGGTTCAGAAGACACTGTGCAATCAAGGCTGAATTGAATCAAAATTGGTGGTCCTAGAGTCTGTAGCTTCTTGTTAATTTCTCTGCCCCCTTTGTTTGGTACTTGGGGATCAAGGACTCACCTGGATGTCTTCAAACTAGAGTAGTGGTTCTCAATCAGGGGTGATTTTGCTCCCCCTTTCCCCAAGGGACACCTGGCAATGTCTGGAGACATTTTTGGTTGTCACAGCTTGGTGGTGGTGGTGGGTGTGTGCTACTGGCATCAAGTAAGTAGAGGCCAGGGATATTGCTAAATATCTTAAATTTGACTTGACAGCCCACAACACTCACCTAGTCCCAAATGTCACAAGTGCTAAGGCTGAGAAACCTTGGCCTAGATCAGGGGTCGGCAAACTGTGGCTCGAGAACCACATGCGGCTCTTTGGGTACGTTCCGTCTCAAAAGTTTGCCGACCCCTGGAAGAGCCAATCCTGTCCCTCACAACAATTTAAAAATTATTCGAGAGCCATAAATATATTTTTATATAATCATCATTATGTGAGTAATATCCTTTAAAATTTTTATAAATGAAACTATGATAGTTTTATTTTCATTTTCAGTTTTACTTCAGAGCCTATGGCTTGCAAGCCGCAGTTTGCTGACCACTGGCGGCTCTTCCGTCTCAAGTTTGCCAACCCCTGGCCTACAGTGATTAGAAACAGAGATACACATGACCCAGTGGGCATGACCCCCCTGCTAAGAGCACCCTATCAGCCCTGAGCAGTGGCTGTTACACTAGGTGGTCACCTTAAAGTCTGTTCCCAAGGCACCCAGACAACAGGTGTTGCCATTCCCTTATGATACCAGCTGGGACATCCCAGCCAATCTCTCAGCCAGAGTTGTCTGGCCTCACCATGGCAGCTCTTTCCATTCCTCTGCAGGCAACAGTCACCATGCCAACCCAATGCTCCAGAACAAATCAATGCTTTGGGTCGCCTTGCAGTTCACAAAGCAATTGGATGGGTTTCCAACCTGGTGAAGTAGAAACTAATGTGATCCCCATTTCAAGAAAAAGGAGCCCAAGGTGCCAGAGGTCATGTGGCTCACCCACGGTCCCGCAGCTCAGACACAAATGATGCAGCTCTGAGAAGAGAATTCATGTGCCTATGAATCTGTGCACTTTATTCCACCCCACAAAGGGAAATTTCTACGTATTAGAAAAATAGATGACTACATGCCGAGGCACCGCACTGAGCAGGCACTGTGCCCAATCACTATTCTGGGGGCAGAGACCACTCGGGCCGTGCTGCCCTCTGCAGCTCACCCAGAGGCACTGGTGGCACAGCACTTCCAGAGAGATTTCCCCTAAAATGGCACCTGCCAGCTGACCCCAACACTGCCCAGCTTAGCTCATCTTCTCATCAAAGAAAAAGCTGAGTAGGACAGTTTCCAGCTCTTTCAGTTAACGGGCGTGGTCAGTCTGGGGAGTTACCATTTAGCCGATAAACAGAATTCCTGAGTGAGAACCAGAGCTCAGCAGCAGAGGGCTGTGCGTCTTCACCCAGCTTGTCGCAGCACAAGCTCCGGGGCTTCCCTTTTGGGACCAACCTACAGGTCTCCTCTCCTTAGGCTCCAAAATTAGTATCTTCTTAAGGACCCACCCACCCCCAAAAGAACAGGTGCTTGACAGGAAATACTTCCTTTAACACCTGGGGACAGTGGTTCCTACTGTCCTACCTAAAGGTGGGGAGCATGGAGGCTGCTTAAAGGTACAATGGGGTCTTTGATCTCCAGGACAGGTTCCCATGACCCCAGAGTGGCCTGGCCGGGCCAGGGCTGCCTGTCCCTTCACAGGGTGGCATAGCACCTCAGCCCCTCACAGGCTTCCCTTGCCTTTACCTGAGGTCCTGTCCTCCAGCTTGATGTAGGCCACCTGCCCTTTTGCAGTGATCCGCAGCCGGCCACTCCATGACGGCTGGTCCAGCTGCCACTCCGCAGCCCTAAGGGGATAAAAACCATTGAGCCTCTGCCAGAGGCTCCCACTCCATTACTCCTATGCTGAAGATGGGGAGGGGAAGGGCATGTGGGGGCCCTGCTCTAGACCAGAAGTCAGCAAACTGCGGCTCCCAAGCCACACGCAGCTCTTCGGGTTACGTTCCGTCTCAAAAGTTTGCCAACCCCTGGAAGAGCCAATCCTGTCTCTCACGACAACTTAAAAATTATTCGAGAGCCATAAATATATTTTTACATAATCACCATTATGTGAATAATATCCTTTTAAAGTTTTATGAAACTATGGTAGTTTTATTTTCATTTTCANATCCTGGGCAGGCGGGCTCCCTGGCCACCCTCCTGGACTGGGGTGTTCCCCACAGGCCTGAGGCTTGAGGCCCGAACTCCAGATATGGGAGCCAATGCCCATGACACTTAAACGAACAAGCTTCCGGCCTGTATCCTGTCCCCGAGAACCTGGGAGCGCCCTGAGGGCTGGTGACAATCACCCAGCCTGCAGAAGACAAGGAGTACAGGCTGGACCATCAGGCAGGGCGGGGAGGTCAGGTCAAGGGAATGGACTGGCATCCCAGCTCCATCAGAGGCTGGCACTAGGCACGAACGTCTGGAATTTGGGGGTCTCTCAAAGGCATTGCTGACATCCTGGAACAAGCACCACACAGCCTGCTGGGGGAGCCGCCTCTCGGCTGCTCAGCACCCCGACAGCCTTACCGAGGGGCTTGCTCCAAACTAAAGCTCCCATTTTCTTTCCCACCACTCACCTCCCCAAATACACCAGTGTTTAAAAGTCTGAGCCCTATTCAGCTCTCTGTCTGGGATGCCAAGCAGCCCCTGCCCCAATCTCCTTCCTTCAAGGCCCAGCTCAATGTCACCTCCTTCATGAAGCCTCCCTAGATCATGCCAGCTGGATGTGAGTCTGGGCCTCATACATTTGGTCTTTGTGCTCGTGACTCTTCTCCCTTACTAGATACAAAAGCCCCATGGGCAGAAACCGTGTCTCCATCACCCACTCACTCAAATACCCACTGAGCACCCTCTGAGAACCAGAAACCCACGTGAGGACTTCAGAGCAACAAACAAGTTGAAGTCCCTGCTCCTCAGGGGAGGCCAGACACCCTGAAGGGATAGGTGGGGGATATCAGGGAACAGAGGAATTACACAGTGTGGCAGGATCAGCTTTGTGGTGCTCACCTTCCAGTGTGTCACATACGGGTACTAAATGACGGGTTCATTCATATGAGCAAAGGAGGGGAGCCATGGGGCCCCAGCTGCCGGGGAAAGAGGAGGAGCCCAGGTGTGGACTTAGCAGCAAGTACAGTCACCCCTGAGCACTGACCTGAACCAGGAGCAACTGCTGGCTGGGCCAGGGAGCCGCCCCCAGACACAGGCTCCCCAGCGGGAGGGACCAGGGTAGAAGGTTTTCCCCCTGGGGGAGGAGGAAGCAGGCTCAGTCCTCCTGTGCTGACAGGCCGGGCTCGGGGGGTTCCAGCTGCTCCTTCCTTCTTCTTCATGTTCTACAGAGAGGAGAGGAATGTGAACCCGTCCGTTCTGCTGGAGACCCACTGTTATCAGAAAACCCCACGAGGAGGGCCAAGGTGCCCCCCAAACGTCTATATAACCAAAAGATGATCAAAAGCCGTCTAGCACTCTCATTGTTATGAGCTATATTCAATGCCTCCCAATGCTAATACTATCACAAATACATTGATTTTAAGACCCAGCACCCAACTTTATTAATCGTCAGGGAAATGCAAATCCAACCTATAGTGATATACCATCACGCACCCACCAGAATGGCTAAAACAGAGAGTATCAAGTAAGGACAAGGGTATGGAGCAGCCAGAGCACTCACACACCGCTGGTGCAAGAGTCACCTGGGAAAACTACTTGGAAAAACTGTTTGAAAGAATCTATAAAGCTGACCTATGGGGCCGGCNTGTGTGTGTGTGTGTGTGTGTGTGTTTTCAGTTGGCTGCATCCCAAAGCCAACTTGGGGCAATTTGGGAATGGGCCACTTTGTTTTTCATACTCTGATCCCTTATATGTGCTGAACAGCACAGAGGAAAGTAGGGTATCGCAGAAGTAAAGCACCTGGACCCACTGAGTCAGAGAAACTTCCATCTTGGAGAGCATCTAGGACCAGCTCTCAAGAGCTGAACTTTGGGTATTTTCTACCATCAGCACTGAGTTCTATCACTTCCGCTCTGGAAGCCAAGCAGTGTGAAGGTGGCCCACAGTGACTGTTCTGGGCCTTACCATGTGGCTGCCACAGCTAGAAACCAAACCTTCCTCTCATGAACTTCACAGGGAATAATCACTCTGTGCCAGGGGCAGCCAGGTCTTACAATGTGTTCTGAGCACTTTCAGTTCAGTCTAACAGAGATGGGCATTGAGTACCTACCTACCAGATGCCAGGTGCTGGGTGCTGGGGACCACAGAGATAAGGCTGACCCTGCTCTACATTCACAGAGCTCGCAGACCAGAGGAGACAGAGAGGAAAAGAGTCATTTGCAATGCAGAGTGAAAGTGCTATGATGGAGGAAAATCATAGGGGGCTGTAGGAGGGAAGAGAAGAGAGACCCCACTTAACCGGGGGCAGTCAGGGAAGGCTCTCTGGAAGAGGTTACCTTGACACAATAATCCCTGTGAGGTAGACAGGGCAAGGATTGTTATCCTCATTGTGTGATGGAGCCACTGAAACAGCGACAAGCCCAGGGAAACTACAGTGCCCTCTAGTTGGAGGAGGTCAGACAGTCCCTTGCCTTATTCTCAAACCCTGACCACATGGCTGGACATTCCTGAAAAGCATTCCTAAACCTCTGCTGCTGAGAATAATTGGACCTACCATCGACTCCCAGGTTAACTACAGTATTTACCAACCGAGTTGAATTCAACCCAACAGGCAGAGGATAGGCTCAGAGAGGAGCAGGGGTGTAAAATCTCACTGTGATTCATCCAGCTGCTTTCTTTTCTTTTCTTTTAAAGATTTTATTGGGGAACTGGAGAAGGGGAAAAGGGTGTTGGGGAATTGGAAGAGCCAAGTTGTTGTCTTTCAATCTTAGTTGTGGAGGGCGCAGCTAGCTCAGCTCCAAGTCCAGTCACCATCCGGCCACCTGTCGGCAGCTCAGGGCAGCTCAGCTCAAGGTGCCATGTTCAATCTAAGTTGCGACTGGGCATAGCCCACCATCCCATGCAGGAGCCCAGCTGGCAATCTTGTTCTTAGGAGCACGTGCTCTCACCAGCTGAGTCATCCTGCCGCCTGTTGGCAGCTCAGCTCGGGCGCAGCTCACTGGCCCATGTGGGAATCGAACCGGCAACCCTGTTGCTCAGAGCTCGCGCTCTTAACCAACTGAGCCACTCAACTGGCCCCCAGCTGCTTTCTTGTAGGTCCAGGGCCAACGTGGGGGTTTGATGAGAGCAGCTTTCCTTGGTGGCCTCCAGAAATATATATTATAGGTCACTTATCATCTTTCTCTGTTGTATTTTCCTACCATCATAGGCATTTTATAAGAGAAGCTCACCCACTTCTCAGATGGGGAAAATACTTATAAGAGCACTTAATACAAAAAAACAATCTTGAAAAGGAACAAAGTTGATATGTGGAATCTAAAAACAACAACAAACAAACAAATAAAACAGAAAGAAACTCATAGGTACAGAGACCAAACTGATGGTTGCCAGAGGGGAGGGGGTTGGGGGATGGATGAAAAGAATGAAGGGGAAGAAGAGGTACAAACCTCCAGTTATTTGAAAAAAAGTCTCATGGATGTAATGTGCAGCATAGGGGAAACAGCTAATATTATTGTAGTAACTTTGTGTGGTGACAGATGGTTACTAGACTTATTATGATCACATTGTAAAAAATATAAATGTTGAATCACCTGGAACAAATATTATATTGTATGTCAACTATAATTTTTAAAAAAAGAACAAAGTTGGAGGACTCACACTTTGAGATCTCAAAACTTACTAATGAGCTACGGTAATCAAGACAGTATAGTACTGGCATAAGGGTAGACATATAGATCAATGGATTAGAAATGAGAACCCATAAATAAACTTTCACTTTTACAGTCAATTGACTTTTTGTAAACATGCTAAGAAAATTCAATAGATGAAGAATAGTCTTTTCAACAGATGATGCTCGGACCACATATCCACATGCAAAAGAATGACGTTGAACCCCTATCTCACACCATATACAAAAATTAATTCAAAATGGATAATAGGCCTAAATGTAAGAGCTAAAACTGTACAACTCTTAGAATAAAACATAGACATAAATCTCCATGACCTTGGATTTATGTTATATAAAAAAATCTAATGGATTCTTAGATATGACACTAAAAGCACAAGCAACAAAATAAAAAATAGATAAATGGGACTTTAATAAAATTTAAAACTTTTCGGGCCGGCCAAGTGGCGCGATGGTTAAGAACTGGTTTGGGACGCCAGAGGGCCCCGGTTCCGATCCCACATATGAGGGCCGGTGACACTGCCCTCTACAGCTAAGATGCTGAACAACAGCTCAACCTGGAGCTGGGCTGCCATGAGTCATCGGCGGTGGCATAGGCTGCAGCCCTTGCTGCAGTGGGTTGCCATGGGCTACCGTGTGTAGCCAGCAGCCAGCGTGAGCGGCCGTCCAGAAGCCGGTGACTGATGTGCCTCACCCGGGAAGAGCGCAATGATGGTGTCAACTTGGGCCAGTGAAGCAACATCCTCCACACTAGACTGAAGATCAAAAGGATAGCAACTTGTCTGTTCCCCTTCCCCCAGTTCCCCAATAAAAATCTTAAAAAAAAAAAAGACAAATAACCTAATTTATAAATGGACCATGGACCTGAATAGAAGATATACCAATAGCCAATAAGCATATGAAAAGGTGCTCAACATCATTAGTCATTAGAGAAATGCAAATCAAAACCACAGTGAGATACCCCTTCACACGCACACCCACTAGGTTGGCTAGAATTTTTTTTTTTTAAGATTTTATTGGGGAATTGGGGGAGGGGAGGAACAGTGTTGGGGAATCAGGGAAGGGGAACAGACAAGTTGCTGTCCTTTTGGTCTTCAGTCTAGCTGTGGAGGACGTTGCTTCATTGGACCATGTTGGTATTATCATTGCACTCTTCCCAGGTGAGGCATATTGGTCACCAGCCACTGGACAGCCACTCATGGCGGCTCATGGCAGCTCACGCCATCTGCCAGCCACTCACACTGGCTGTCGGCCATTCATGGTAGCTTCCGGCAGCCCACTGCAGCCCCACTGCAGCCTACACCATCGCCGGCGACTCACGGCAGCCCAGCTCCAGGTCAAGCTGTTGTTCACCATCTTAGCTGTAGAGGGCAGTGCCACTGGCCCCATGTGGGATCCGAACCAGGGCCCTACTGTTCAGAGATTGCGTTCCCAAGCCAACTGTTAACCAACAAGCCACTTGGCCAGCCCTAGAATTTTTTTAAAAGATGGGTAATAACAAATCTTGGTGAGGATGTAGAAAAATTGCAACCCTCATACACTGCTGGTAGGAATGTAAAATGATACAGCCACTTTGAAAGACAGCCTGGCAATTACTCAAGAGGCTAAACACAGAGTTACCATATGACCCAGGAATTCCACTGCTAGAATATATATATACATATACATATACATATACATATACATATACATATACATATACATATACATATACATACACATATATATGTCCAAGAGAAATGAAAACATGTTCACACAAAAATTTGTACACAAATATTCATAGAAGCATAATTCATAATAGCCAATAAGTGGAAACATCTCAAATGTATAGCAACCGATGAACGGATATACAAAATGTGGTATATGGACCATAAAATTCAAAATGGAATGAAGGGCTGATACAAGCTACAACATGGATGAACCTTGAAAATGTTTTGCTAAGCGAAAGAAGCCAGTCACCAAGGACCACCTATTGTATGATTCCATTCATATTCAACGTCCAGCACAGGCAAATCTGTGAGACAGAAAGTAGATTGGTGGTTGCCCAGGGCTGGGGGTGGGGTACGAGAGATGAGGTGATGGCTAAGGGGTGTGGGCTTTCATTTTGGGGCAACAAAAAATGTGCTAAGGGTGATGATTGTAAAATTCTGTGAATACACGAAAAGCCATTGAAGTGTATGCTTTAAATGGGTGAACTGTATGGCATGTGAATTAAATCGCAACAAAGCTGTGGGGGGAAAAGGGAACCGAGTGCCCTGAAAGGTGGGCAGTCTATGTTGGCCACCCACCCGCTCAAGTCTGTCCTCAGATTCCATGCC